AAAAAGGATCGATTTGACCTTATAAAAAGAACTTCTTGGATTATTCCCCAAATTGTATGTGATGTATTAATAACTGGAGCCCATACATTTTATACTGATGCAAATAAATCAGGGAAGGCAGGTTACAAATTAGAAGAATTAGGTAAGGTGGAACAAAGCCCTTATAGTTCTGTTCAGAATGCAGAATTATATGCTATTCTTATGGTACTAAGGAATTTTAAAGAATATCTCAATATAGTTATTGATTCACAATATGCAGAAAGAGTTGTCTTTCATACTGAAACCACTGAATTTATACCAGATGATATGGAATTGACTTCTGTATTTATCCAGGTACAAGACATAATCAGTAATAGGCTTTGTCCTATATAAATAACACATATCTGATCTCATACAGCTCTGCCAGGTCCTCTAGTACAAGGTAATATAGAAATTGATTAATTTTTGATTGGAAGTGTATTGCAGATCTCTAAATTTCATAAAAAATAAACATCATGTCAATAGCAAAGGTTTGAAGAAACAGTTTCCTATTACATGGCAACATGCTAAGGATATTATAAAGTGGTGTCCTACTTGTTCTTTCTATAACCAAACACTGTTGCCTACAGGGAGTAAATGTAAGTAATGAAATCTGGTAGATGGATGTGTTCCATTTTTCAGAATTTGGTAAATTAAAATATGTGCACCACAACATAGACACATACTCAGGGTTTCCATGGCAACTGCCTTGAGCTCAGAAAAGGCTGATTGAATACTCACACATTTATTGGATGTTATGGCCATCATGGGCATTCCTGCACAAATAAAGACAGACAATGGTCTGGCATATGTATCTAAGAAAATGAAGTGTATTTTTACTTATTATAATATAAAGCACATTACAGGTCTACCCCATAATTCTACAGATCAGGCAGTTATAAAAAGTTCAAATTGTACTACAAAATAAAATGTTGACCAAACAGAAACAGATGGAAAAATACCCTCAGAAATAGATTGCATAATGCTTTATTAACCTTGAATTTTCTTAACACTATGAAAAAGGAACATCAGCTCAGTCTCATTCAGAGGATTCCTGAAGGCAGGATGACTACTTCAGTCTGAGGTAGAGGTGGCTGGCTGCTTTGCTTTGCCAAACCCCAATATCTGTTTCTGGGTTTATATTATTTGTGCCATATTATGTAATAACTCATTTAAGTTAATTAATCCCAAGTGGTCACTGCTAAATTTATGCATATGTGAGCAACTTTAAATAGATTCAGCATGTTTGGTATATAATGTACATAATATATATAACATATGAATATTTAATATTTAAACATATATCATATACATGTAACAATAATTAAGAACAGGGAATCCTGAATTTGAGAGAGAGATGGATTACACAGGAGTAGTAAGAGTGGTGAGAAATGAGGGAGAGAAAAAATAATGTAGGAGAGTCTTACAACAGTAAGAAATATTAAATTGTAAAATACTTTAAATAAGTCTAGCTATAGCCTTAAATTTGATCATAGTTAGAATACTAGTCCTTTTGATTTGGAAAATGATACATGTCACTACTCAAGGCTTACTTCCTTAAAAAACACTAATTCTAGGTGGTGACTGTTATTCCTTTTGATTTCTGGTCCCTTTAAGGGATAAGCCACACCCACTCCCAGCGACTTCTGACCTCTCATCGCCATCTTGGCCCCTTTCTGTTTTCTCTATTGGTGTGTGCACAGGAACATTCACAGCAACAGGCCTGAGCCAGTGACCTCCATGGAGACAGGCCCAAACCAGCAATCTACACAAAGGCAGGCCCAAGCCTGTGACCTCAGGAGAAGCCAGTCCCAAGCAAGTGATCTCAAGGGGAGCAGGCCCAAATGACCACTGGGATTTTAATGCAAACCCCCAGAAGTCACAAGTGGCATCCAGGACTGTTAAGTGACCTCTGGGGTGAATGGAACTGTGGCCTTACTGAATCATGAGGAAGAACCAGCTGAGCCTTGGATCCTCTGGCACCTGGAAGACTGATCAACAGAGGCATGCCCCCAACTATGCCAGAGGAAAACATGGGTAAGCAAGGTTAGAACACATTCAACACCACTAATAGCACCATGACATGAACAAAAAGTAATGACTCTGTAGCAGCAAGACTTGAAAACCCAATAAAGATGAAGCAGAAGAAAATAACCTAAAAAAATTACTTTAAGAGAATGTTTGAGATTTCTAAAGAGGAAATGAAAATTTTCTCAGAGAAAGCAAGGAAAAGACAAACAAAAATTAAAAGAAATCAACAAATCCCTTAGAGAAAACCAAGAATAAGAAATCAAAAAGATGAAAGAAACAATTCAAGACTTGAAAACCAAAAGAGATTATAAAGAAAACACAAACTGAGGGAATTCTGGAAAATGGAATATACGGGAAAAAAGAACCACAAATGAAAGTCTCAACAGCACAATACAGCGATGGAAGAAAGAATCTCAAGCTCTGAAAATACAGTAGGGTCAATAGATTCATTAGTCATAAAACATTTAATCTAACAAAAGCTTACCACAAACAATCCAAGAAATATGGAGCACCATGAAAAGACCAGACCTACGAATAATATGGATAGAAGAAGTCCAACTTTATTTGACCACAGGTTCTGGAACGAATGATAAAAGTAAGGGAGTATGGAATTTTCCCCTAAGACTAACAAAAGCTGCTCAGGCCATGCATACGTCATAGGTGTACCTGAAAATAGGCCTAGTAGAGAGGCCATGCATATAGATGTAAAGCTGAAACAAACTAAAATCTGATTGTACCAGACTTTCTTTTGGATCATCTACCTGTGCTCAATTCATGACTCTAAGAGTTACTGTTTATGAATTCTCAACCTTAGCTTAGTTCTTATTTTAAACTGTTTCTCTGTATCTACATTTTGCATTGAGTCTATTTACCTTTTTTTCTTTCCCTCTTCTTTATTATTTCCTTCCTTCCTTCTTTCTTTCTTTCTTTCTTTCTTTCTTTCTTTCTTTCTTTCTTTCT